TGTGGAATAGTTTCACAAATTCATGCCACCTAGAACACCACAGCATAATGGTGTGTTCGAACGTCATAACCGTACTTTAATGGATATAGTGCAATCTATGATGTTTCTTACCGATTTACCACTATAGTTTTGGGGTTATGCATTAGAGACAGCTGCATTCATGAAAAAAAGGGCACCATCTAAATCCGTTGAGACGACACTGTATGAACTGTGGTTTGGCAAGAAACCAAAGTTGTCGTTTCTTAAAGTTTGGGGTTGGAATGCTTATAAGAAAAAGTTTCATCCTGATAAGCTCAAACCCAAATTGGAGAAAGGTGTCTTCATAGGATACCCAAAGAAGACAGTTGGGTACACCTTCTATCACAGATCCGAAGGCAAGACATTCGTTGCTAAGAATGGATCCTTTCTAGAAAAGGAGTTTCTCTCGAAAGAAGTGAGTGGGAGGAAAGTAGAACTTGATGAGGTAACTGTACCTGCTCCCTTATTGGAAAGTAGTACATCACAGAAACCGGTTTCTGTGACACCTACACCAATTAGTGAGGAAGCTAATGATGATGATCATGAAACTTCAGAACAAGTTACTACTGAACCTCATAGATCAACCAGAGTAAGATCCGCACCAGAGTGGTACGGTAATCCTTTTCTGGAAGTCATGCTACTAGATCATGATGAACCTACGAACTATGACGAAGCGATGGTGAGCCCAGATTCCGCAAAATGGCTTGAAGCCATGAAATCTGAGATGGGATCCATGTATGAGAACAAAGTGTGGACTTTGGTTGACTTGCCCAATTGATCGGCAAGCAATTGAGAATAAATGGATCTTCAAGAAGAAGACTGACGCTGACGGTAATGTTACTGTCTACAAAGCTCGACTTGTCGCAAAAGGTTTTTCGACAAGTTCAAGGGATTGACTACGATGAGACCTTCTCACCCGTAGCGATGCTTAAGTCTGTCCAAATCATGTTAGCAATTGCCGCATTTTATGATTGTGAAATTTGGCAAATGGATGTCAAAACTGCATTCCTGAATGGATTTCTGGAAGAAGAGTTGTATATGATGCAACCAGAAGGTTTTATCGATCCAAAAGGAGCTAACAAAGTGTGCAAGCTCCAGCGATCCATTTATGGACTGGTGCAAGCACTTGATCGTTTAGTATGTTGCTATTGCTTTCTTCATGACTTATACATGTTCCTATGACTATGAGATTATGCAACTCACGTTTACCGGAGGAACACTTTGTGTGCTACCAAACGTCACAACGTAACTGGGTGATTATAAAGGAGCTCTACAGGTGTCTCCAAAGGTACATGTTGGGTTGGCGTATTTCGAGATTAGGATTTGTCACTCCGATTGTCGGAGAGGTATCTCTGGGCCCTCTCGGTAATGCACATCACATAAGCCTTGCAAGCATTGCAACTAATGAGTTAGTTGGGAGATGATGTATTACGGAACGAGTAAAGAGACTTGCCGGTAACGAGATTGAACTAGGTATTGAGATACCGACGATCGAATCTCGGGCAAGTAACATACCGATGACAAAGGGAACAACGTATGTTGTTATGCGGTCTGACCGATAAAGATCTTCATAGAATATGTAGGAGCCAATGTGAGCATCCAGATTCCGCTATTGGTTATTGACTGGAGACGTGTCTCGGTCATGTCTACATTGTTCTCGAACCCGTAGGGTCCGCACGCTTAAGGTTTCGATGACAGTTATATTATGAGTTTATGAGTTTTGATGTACCGAAGGAGTTCGGAGTCCCGGATGAGATCGGGGACATGACGAGGAGTCTCGAAATGGTCGAGACGTAAAGATCGATATATTGGACGACTATATTCGGACATCGGAAAGGTTCCGAGTGGTTCGGGTATTTTTCGGAGTACCGGGGAGTTACGGGAATACGGGGGAAGAAGTATATGGGCCTTATTGGGCTTTAGGGGGAGAGGAAGAGGCAGGCCGCGCACCCCCCCATTGACTAGTCTGAATTGGACTAGGGGGAGGGGCGGCGCCCCCTCCTTCCTTCTCTTCCCTCTTCCCCTTCCTTGTCTCCTACTCCTACTACTTGGAAGGACTCCTAGTTGGACTAGGAAAGGGGAATCCTACTCCCGGTGAGAGTAGGACTCCCCTAGGGCGCGCCATAGAGAGGACCGGCCCTCCCCTCCTCCACTCCTTTATATACGGGGGCAGGGGGCACCCCATAGACACACAAGTTGATCTTCATGATCGTTCTTTAGCCGTGTGCGGTGCCCCCCTCCACCATATTCCACCTTGGTCATAATGTAGCGGTGCTTAGGTGAAGCCCTACGACGGTTGAACATCAAGATCATCACCACGCCGTCGTGCTGACAGAACTCCTCCCCGAAGCTTTGCTGGATCGGAGCCCGGGGTGCGTCATCGAGCGGAACGTGTGCCAAGAACTCGGAGGTGCCAGAGTAACGGTGCTTGGATCGGTTGGACCGGGAAGACGTACGACTACTTCCTCTATGTTGCGTCAACGCTTCCGCTTCGGTCTATGAGGGTATGTAGACAACACTCTCCCCTCTCGTTGCTATACATCACCATGATCTTGTGTGTGTGTAGGATTTTTTTTGAAATTACTACGTTCCCCAACACCAGCAGCCTCATGGTGGGAGAATTACACTGTCACCTACCCTATAGCCACTGTTACATGGGATCAGTTTCAGCAAGCTTTCCGTACATCCCATGTCTCAACCGGAGCTATGAGTATGAAGAAACGTGAGTTTCGCAACTTACGCCAGGGGAACCGTATCGTGGCTCAATACGCGGATGAGTTTAGCAAGTTATCTCGCTATGCCCCTGACGATGTGGCCACAGATGCCGCAAAGCAGGAGAAGTTTATGGAAGGGCTGAATGATGAGATGAGCATGCAGTTGATGATGGCAACATTCAACAACTACCAGGAGTTGGTAGACAAGGCTCTTATGATTGAAGGGAAGCAACAGCAGATTGAGAGCCGTAAGAGGAAGTATGGATAAGGAAGGTATAATTTAGGAGCTCAGCAGAAGCCCCGCCTAACCCTGAACTCGGGAGGACTTGTTCATAACCATGGAGGCCACACCCATAATGGAGGAAGTAACCATAATCATACTGGTCCAAGAAATGGGAATGGGAATAGAGCAAGCAACAATCTGAACCGCTCCAATCCAGCCACACCTGCGAAGAGAGACCTAAGCCATGTTACTTGTTTCAAGTGCGGGAAGACTGGACACTATGCCACGGAGTGCCCTAAAGCGAAGAATGGAAACGTCAATGGGAGCGCTGAAAAGAAGCCCAATCCATTCAACAAAGGACAAGTGAACCACGTTAACGTGGAGGAGGTTGAAGAGCAGCCAGACGCAGTTATTGGTAAGTTTTTGGTTAAGTCTTTTACCGCCCTTGTTCTTTTTGATACTGGTGCATCGCATTCATACATATCAAGGGAATTTGTGGATAAATTTAAACTACCAACCCAAACTCTTAGGACCTATCTGTTAGTGAGTTCACCTGGAGCAGAGTATATGGCTATTCAATGGTGCGACCAGATACCCTTAACCATTGGTAGTCATGTTTTTCCGCCCGACCTAATAATCTTGGAGTCACAAGGATTGGATGTGATATTAGGCATGGACTGGATGTCAAAGTATGGAAGAAGCATTGACTGTGTTAGTAAATCAATTTGTCTCACCACCCCGGAGGGAAAAAGGATCAAGTATATAAATTCGCATGTGTCCCTCCCCGTGGAACAGAAAGAGATGTCCACAATACTCCGAGCAAACACTCGCTTCCCCCAAGTCCTTAGCTCGCCCGATAATCACATAGGTTGTTCGAGAAGTGTACCTCGAAGACTCAAGTAATGGCGTGGCGGAAAAATGCTGAGTCCAACGCCGACAACCAACGACAAGTGAATCGCTGGAGAAGGTGAAAAGCGAGAGGGGAAGAGGCGAGTGGGAGAGAGTGTTGATGAGAGGGGGGGGGGTAATGGTGCTCATCCGTGCGGTTGCCGCCATGAAATAACGACTGCAAACACTGATGTCGCGTCGCTCCCGTTAACCAAGATTTATGTGCCTCATCCAACAACCCACGGAGCGTTCATGTTGAAGCGGCTATGAGCTGACGTGAGTTCAATAGAGTTTAGGTTATGACAATACAGATGATCATGACTTTTGTGTGTGATTTGTGGTCGTATTAGGGCTTGAGTTATAATCTATGATTGTAATTTGTGGCCTGACGGGTATTTAGGGTTGACCCATGGTCTAATTATTTTTTAGGATAAGGCGATTTGATAACCTTGAATACTCCACAATAGATAACGGATAATCCACATAAGTCGAATATTATCGAAACCAAATCTGACGGATACCCTGTTCACCAAAATCCACATGCAAGTCCATATGTGATGAATTTATATAAGTGCATACCATCTTAAAAACATATGTGGATGTGAATTCAAAGCGAAAATTATACATATCATTTACATCCGTAGCCACCTCCCATCCAATTCCAAATGTCCAAACACCCAAATCCCCACTTTCATCGTCCACCAGACGGCGGGCACGATAAAACTGGAGCCCGAAGCAGGCGGGGGTAATAGAAGAGTGGTTTCCGTTTCTCTCTCTGGCAAGTCCCCCGGAGTTCGACCTCAGCCACAGTAACCTAGTTCTCGGTGAGCGCCTCTCTCTAAGATACCCTCCATTCCTTTATGTAAAGTGTTTTTTTTTTGAATGGTGACCAAGGCTTTAGCAAAACTGATATATTTAAGACAATCGTTATGTTTTATAAAATTCTGAATGGTGGTAATTTGCTTCCTAACGTCAACATTTTTCCGAAACAAGAAAAGCGTCCATCTGGATAATCATCTGCGGACATGCAGTTATGATTTATGAATACACTTCCTATCTCTTGACAGATTGAAGGCGATCGGTCCGAAGCAATGTTATTATTACACACATATATACAGCCAGAAGCCAAAACTCAAAACCATAGTAAGCCAGCCGCCTCAAGTAAGAAGAAGCTTGTTCGTCTTCAGACCATCCACGAAGCAGTCCACCGAAGGCGCAAACGCCCGAAGCCGGTGACGAACGGCGCCGCGGACGTGAGCGAGCACGCGGTCGCCCGTCCGATGGCCTCCGCCATTGCCGCGCACCTTGAAGGCCGCGGACAACTGCTGGATGTGCGCCGAGAAGAAGAAGGCCGTGAACAGCAGCATGCACGCCTTCAGTGCCGCCATCTTGGACAAGAGCTTGGAGCAATCGAGCTAGGATCGAGTTATATATAGTGAGTGAGTGAGTGACGGAGCACAAGCAAGGATCGAGTGGGCGGTTGACCGAAGGCGTGCTTTGTTTGATCGGGCCGGAAAAGTTGAGAGGCGATGGTGAATATGTCAAATCTGCTTATCTAACGTACTACGTTGCTGGACTTAGCCCGGCAGGATTGACTTGACTCGATCGACAGCGCTAACTTGTCAAACATTGCTGAAGAACTTGGACATGGTATTACCCTAGTAGTACGTGTACCAGTCAGTCATGCATGAATACGTTTACGTATCTCAGCTCTCAGGCCGTCAGGCGTCAGCCGTTTGCCCACCGGTATGCAATGCGTAGACAAGGCGAAAGCGTCGACTGATCTAGCTAGCTAGTCTCAAAAGTAGTGCTGATATGATATATGGCAACACATATATTTGATAATAATACAGAAAAGCCTAAATTTGTTTTTGTTCAAACTTAGGGCGTGTTTCACCCGCAAAAAATGATAATAGTAAGTTAAGGCATGTTTGGTTTATAGTCTAAGGTTGCCACACGCCCACACATAACTTTAGTCATGCCACGATATCTTAGCCATGTTCCCGCAAAAAAAAAGAATCTTAGCCATGTACTATTTCGTTCATTGCCGCAATTGTAGCTTATCACACTTTTTTAGGAGTAGAGATGTATGTGTTGCTTCATACTCCCTCCATTCTAAATATAAAACCTTTTAGAGATTTCACTATGGGCTACATACGGATGTATATACATATATTTTAAGTGTATACATTCACTCAATTTGCTCCGTATGTAGTCCATAGTGAATTCTCTAAAAGGTATTATGTTTAGGAGCGGACAGGTATAAGATAAGCTAAGGTATGATTCTCACCGTCACAATACGTAGGAGTAGAGATGTATGTGTTCTACGTGTTGGTCATTTCGTTCGTCACACTTATTGACAGTGAGAATTTGCCTAAGGTTAGTTGTGGTAAAGTTAGTAATGAACCTAACATGCCCTTAGCTCTACAAGCACCTTTGGTGGATTTGCATGTTCAGTGGTAGGAATCTTGTAGCTGGAAACATCCCTTTTGAAAAGTAAATCTATTTTCATTCTATTCTTCATCTTCATAGTTAAATCATTGAAACATGCATTAAACAAAAAAATGGAATTAGATATGTAAGCATAGTTTGGCAGCACGGTTTAGTTGAAGGGAAACCATATATAGTATGAGACTGTTTTTTTTTTCTAACCTAGGTGTAATGTGCCCCTTATTTGTACTGTCCAATACTGCATTGCGATCTGTGCCAACAAACTAACTTACTATAGAAAAAGTTCCTTTTTATTCTGAAATAAAAAATATGGGCTTCAAACTTTGCAGATTGACAAAACTTTTAGAAATACAATGAGCAAAAATTGTTTCAGATTTTTTGTTCCAAAAAATACAAAATATTTTTTATTATAAATATATTATTTAAGTATTTATGATATACACTAAAATTTTAAAGTTTTTCCACATATTGAGGTCTAATATTTTATTGATTTGAAGTTCATATGTTGTTTCATTTGGGGGAAGAAGTTCAAGCACAGATCACGAAGCAACATATAGATGGTTGGATAAGAGGGTGCAATGCACCCAAGTTTAGCCACGCCTTCCCCACTCGTAATAATCTAAGATCTCGATATTCAGGCAATGAGTATTTCTCTCATATATTATACTATTTAAAAAAGACACAAAGTTATGGTTCTGTCAACCATTCGTCCTTGTCCAATCTATTGTACCTACATTCTGCCCCCTCTGTCATACTTTTAAGTTTTTTCTTCCCATATCTGATTTTCTATCAGCTTTGCTTGAAAAATGCCACATCTTTTATTGGTTTGCCAAATCAAACCTTGTTTTTTTATAAGCCAATAAGTGCTTATATTACTAAATAAGTGTTAAAAAGCAATCTAATATAGACATGCAAATCACGGACTAACTTGCTAAAATATTTATGCCCCATTGCAATGCATATATAATTATTTATTTATTTCTAAAAACCATAGTTTGGTTTAGAAAAAAGTGATCGAGGGCTCTTTTTCAAATATGTTGAGGCTTCTTTTTCAAATAAATAAAAATAACGGCATTGAAGACACTATTGTTTATAAAAATACACTATTTATTGATTCCAAATCATGAAAGTATTTACAACCGTGGTTCTAAAAAGCCCACGGTATTCTTCTAAAACTTCAAAAAAAGAAGCCACCAAACGTATCCTAAATTGTAATCTTAGTATCTTACCACATCTAATTAGATTAAAACATTCTTATATGAATTTGTACTAATGCACCAAGAATATTAATCTGTAATGTTAAATAGAGAATCTAACCAATCTAGTGAACTTTAATTTCAGATTTACCACCAACACGACGTGCAAATGTAATGAAGTTCCAGCAAAAAAAAGTACTACTCCCTTTGTAAACAAATGTAAGACGTTTTAGGAGCATTTTTTTAAAAAAAGATTAAAAAATGAAAATATAAATGTACTAATTTTTTTTAGACAAATATAAATGTACTAATTTTTTTGAGAGGAAAGCTAAGCTTTATTGATGATAATCCACATGGAGTGGGATACAATTTCGATCGCGGGGATTAGCCAACCAGACGTGGTGTCCCAGACCGAGGGAAAGAGAGTGCTTAGCTAAACTGTGGGCCTCGCCATTAACGGCTCACCCTTCAAAAATAAAACTACATCTAAAACTAGTAGCTCGAAGTTTTATCTTTGTAACGATGGATCCATAAGGACCTTGATTTCCTTTTCGTATATCTTCCACAACCTGTTTGCAGTCCGAAGAGATTACGAAGTTTTGAACTAGCAAATCTTCCGCAAGGGCCATTGCTTCCCTGCACGCAATTGCTTCAAGGGTGGCGGGATCTAGTTGTCCATCAATCACCAGTGAGGAGCTCCCAAGGTAGTTGACCTGTTCATCACGGCACGCAGCCGCGGCCGAAGGGGCCTTTGGCCTTGCATG